TTATTGTTGTTCCCAAATATTTGAACTTTGTAACCCTTTCAAAGGATTTATTAGCTACCCTAAGATAATTTTGCCCGCCTGTCTTCTGATGACGAGATACTAACATGTACTTAGTTTTTTCTGAATTTACTTCCAGCCCCACTTGTCTACCAGCCTCTAGTAAAACTTCTGCGTTCCTCTTTATTGTATTTATATCGTCCCCCAATAAATTAACATCATCACCAAATGCCAATAGCCGATGTGTCCCGTTCAATTGCAAACTCTCCTGCCTATCTTGGACTTTCCTGAAGGCATATTCTAAAGCAAAGTTAAAGAGCCATAACGTGTTCTTAGCTTACCTAAAACTTAAAGAACACCTAAAATCTTGACAGAGAACAGTCCTGAAGCATTATCCCATGTAATCCGTTACCTACGAGCCAAATTAATTTTATACGCACTGTAATATCACTTTCGGATGCTGGTGTTGGTTTACTTCATGGAATGGCATTCTCAGGGCTTCCAAGAATCCGTCTTCAACTTCCAGATAGCGTAAACAGCGCTCATTTTATTATAAGAACTGCACAAAAAAGCAAAACTTTGGATCTCCTTTAATTATATACAGATCATAGATTTGACACACTGGTCTGTTGAGACTCAGAATTAATCTCAGACAACGCGTGTGTTAGAAAAGCAATGGGATCCCCTATATGGGAGATCAGTCCGTCAAATTCCTGTACTGTCATTCATCAAAGACAGACATCCCTGTCCAGTGTATGGTGGAACGTCGCGATATTCTGGTTGGCACTAATGCCTGGCTTCGAATCTCTTCTCGTTTTCCAGTGTTTCTGACAGATTTTAAGTTTATTTTCTTAATTCTCTCAAGGTTAAGGTTTTATGGTTCCGTAAAGAATGCCGTACCCATTTGGATTAGTATCATTTCTAGTTCAACATTTATAATCATGAGATGGTAAAGTTGCGTCATATTGTGATATAATAAATATGTATTAAATCTTGTCCGTCTAATCACAATAAATTCTTATTAAATATTAAAATATTACAATAATTAACATTTAAAATATTTAAAATATCATTTAGGAACTGAAACATGTCGTGAAAAATGATGGTCTAATGTAAATCGAATATTTCGATAAAGAACATCATTTGATATTTTAAATATTTTAAATGTTAATTATTGTAATATTTAATAAGAATTTATTGTGATTAGACGGACAAGATTTAATATATAATTATAATCATGTTAACATTCGTTGCTGCGTAATATTTCCAACTGGTAAGACGTCGTTTAATAAACTTAAAATAACATTTGGAGCATTTTTAACACTTATAACAACGAATTATGAAGGAACAAAAAATCGTCTTTGTTTTAACTACGCTTTATCAACTGCATAGGATGTCAGGATGATCTGAA